AGCGTGACAACACAACGCGCCACAAGTCGGTCTGACCAAGTGGACATGGTGAAGTAGCTTGGCCAGGGAGACTGATGTATTGTACAAGGCGGCGGTATGCGTTGAACATGAAAGCGGCTTGATGAGCAGTGAATACGAGTAGACTTGACTGAACGAGATAGCACCAGAGATGGCAAAGTTCTCTAGTCAGTCTGAGGTTTCCCTGTCCAGCAGAGAGGAAATCAGGGCTAGGAGCATCAGGGGTAACTGCCAATTCAGGTAGACAACCGTGAGGTTCTGAATGAATATTATTGAAATTAGCCGCGGTGGATGAGGAAGCCGAAGCCTCAAAGTCACTGTAGCGCAAGTCTAGTAAGCTATTTGCGGGAGGCTTATAGGTCCATCTGTCATCGATGAGAAAGGAAAGATAAAGACGAGAAGAGGCATATACAAGAATTGGCAGTGTAGCAGAATTTGATTGAGAGAGGATGGAAGTTGAAGTGCTCATCGGATTATCTTCAGTGGAGAAAAGTAGAGTAAACGCCTGGAATAAAGAAAATAGAAAGATATTTATTGGCCAAGTTCTGGTAAATAAATGAAAGCAATGGAAACGAGTAAAAAGCAAGATTCTGTCAAATTCATCTGGCATGCTGTTTTGTTATTATACGAATACAATGCGAGTTTCGAAGAATCCTTTGAGAGAATAGTATTGTGAAGACTTTTATTTCGTATAAAAGTCCATGATTAAGAGCACCGTAGGTCAATATTACCACAAGACGTAGACTGATTCTTGTTGTACTACCGCCGTTTGGCGTTAGTACGACGTTGAGGTTGAGGTAGCCCACCTATAACTTTTGGGGCGAAGACAGACTGAGCTTTCATTCGCCACATAACGAGTATCGTCAGAGGTGGAACTCATTTTTGCAGGTTAAAACTAAGTCAGGAAGACTTTAACCTCATCATACGTTTTCATACGAAATATAAGTCTTCACAATATGCTTTAATATTAGAAATACAGCTCTTTGAGCCACTTAGGATAAGTCGAAGAAAATTTGATTTTGCTAACTTCAATCAACCCAATAAGCTAAAGGCGTGATAAGATAGATGGCCTGATTACCCTGCCCTTAATATACTATATAACTAACTGCAATTTGATATGCGTGAAGAGAAAGTGGCTTTGAATTAGTTTATTAATAAATCAGTATTTAGATGAATTTGGAATAAAATTAAGGTAAGCCCAATGATATATGTTGCCACTTGGAAACTGAAATTATTACTAAGAAGGTCCTAGCAAAGGGCTTAAACTTTGCCTTTCCAAATTGTAAGGACTTCAAGGAAGAAATTTTGATAGAATTGATAAGTTCAACGAATAGTTTCCCAGAGGGTACTAGGAGTGACATTAAATTACAAGTTGTTCTTTTAATTGATGGCCATGTGGAAACATTATATAAGAACAGGACAGTTAATACTATTATAAAGAAGTATAAGGGTAATGTGCGATTATTATTAAGGGCCGTCAGAAGAGAAGCAGTATTATTTATCGATAGGACTAATTATGTAGGAAAAAAAGGAGAGGCATTAGATGATGATAGAACATATTAAACTTATAATTAAGGACAAGACTGGTCTTAGGGTCAAACCTAGGGGTCTTCTGCAACAATTTGTAAACAAAGAAGTGGAAAAGTGGAAAATGAGCGCACTTCTTTAGTGAGACGTTAGACCTACAAACGCGTATGGTCTGCCCAAAATTCATAAGCAAGGTATCCCATTTAGGATTATTGTAGTGTGATATATAAAATATCACGATTTATATGTGCACAGTTAAGGCAAATCTCAGAAACCTGGAAATTTTCGGTAAGGAACTCTTACGACTATATAGAGTTATATGAGATGTATTCACCCTATTTCATCTAAGGTGATGAAGGACTGGTACTAGAATTTTTCTACAATGATATGAGTAGAGTTGACGTTTTCATTAAATTTCGCATAGCCCTGCTTTCCCAAAAGTTTCTCTCATCCAGGGTGGACTACAGTTTCGACCTCGCATAGGTCTTATCAACACGCCCAGTGGGATTTGAACCGTGACAGTACAGAATGTGAGCTTGAAATGTTAACCACTCGGTCACATTGCCACGAGTCATTCCTCACCTTAAACGAAATAGGGTGAATGCATCTCATATTACTGATTTACTGGTAGTTTCGAAACTCTATTTACATACGAAATATATAGTTAGTTGATTATAGGATGAAAGAAAGAGGATATTTGCTGGTAAGTTTCGATGTAGTGTCCATATACACTAACATTCCGATAAACGAGGCAATGAAGGCATTAGAAGTAACACTAGATTAACACCCTGAAATGATAACAGGTAAAAAGTTAGACAAGTATTTGATAATTAGATTAGTTAATTTGGCCATGTATAACACATGTCACCTTCAATAGTAAGTTGTAAGAGCAATAGCTATGGTCTATTGTTTGGCCCCTATTTTAGCTAATAACTACATGGCCCAATTAGAAATGAGAGATTTTCAAAATATATGCCTAGTTCTCAAGTTATTAGTTAGTTATATGGATGATTGCGCTGCGGGCTGGCAACACGACGAAAGGAATTCCTTGAGCTAATAAATAGAATAGATGTACATATTAAGTTTACCATGGAGTTGGAAAAGGAAAATAAATTGACTTTTTTGGATGTATTTGAGAGCAGAGAAGGTAATTAATTAGATAAATATGTGTATAGGAAGCACACACAAGCGGGTTTCCTTATTTTCTTCTCCAACCATACATATAGATTAAAAATAGGATTTATTGTCTATGATAATAAGAAGTCCGCATTTAGCAGACGTAGACCACAGGGACCAAGAGATCGGTAGAGTGAGGCATATACTGTTTCATCATAATTAGTAGATAATTACACATCATTTGTCACTAACAAGATAAGGGGAGTTTGCTATCTGGGGCGGCATAGACAAGTGGACCATTCTACTCATTTTCTGATTTTGCCTTCGTGTCAGCTAGCGAAAAAGTTGGGTGAGCTGCTGAGGAAGTGGAACGTAAGAACAATGCATGAAAAAAATCAACACTTTCTTGAGTAGTTCCTTCGTTTAGAGAATTTTCAGACCCCATTTCTAGATCAGGCTGCTACAAGGTTTTGTGCTCATGTGGTGAGTATGTGGAGGAGACTTGCCGACCCATACAGAAGAGACTATGCAGACACAAAATTGCTTGTAAAGGTATATGGGTCCAAAAATCTGTGCTCGCTGAATACACAGCTAATACAGGACACTCAATAGACTGAACCAAAACACGTTTTGCGGGCTAAGGGGACTTTACAGCAAAGCATAAGATTAGGGAGTCTATAGAAATTAACAAAACATCCAACTTCCTAATTAGCAGGAATTAGTGATAAAATTGAGTAGGAACTATTTGTGACTATTAGATAGGCGTAAGGAGGAGAAGAGCAGGAAGAGCCACTAAGAGGTGGCTGGATTATCCTCGAGTCTAGCCAGGACTATACCACCTACCATGATATGAACGTTACCTACACACAATAGACAATAGGGCAAGCCCAGACATGATTAAACATTAAAGGATTGTTCACTAGTTTATTTGTGTAAGAAAACAACTAACACCGAAACCACTTCGGGTTCAAAAAGTAACTTTAATCTTTTTCAGGCATATAGAGTAGGGTTGAAGTAGCCAACCAAATCATAGGATGTCTTAGGAGGATAGCAAAGTTTTGTGTAAAAATGCGACTAGCGTTGCAGCCAGTCACCTTTTCTCTTGGTTTAGTATACTTTGCTCTATTTCGTAAAGTATGGAATCTTTCTCTGATGATGTCTGTTACAGTAGAGAGGAAAGTTTGGCACAGTTTCATCGGGATCACGGGACGGTGAGTTGAGGACTTCTTCGCACAATTCATCAGTATTCCCTACAGGGCAATCCTCCTTCGGCTTCCGTTGAGACCACACCACGAATTCCTTCGAACCAACATTTCCTTAGAAATGGATAAGCATGTCACAATATATCACTAAAGAATTGTTCGAAACCCAGTTTTTCTTCATATATTGCTCTACCAGGTTTCAAGTCCCACTGGAGGTGTTGATGAGACCCAGGTTGGATCGATACTGCAGTCCACTCTGGATAAAAACCTTTTGGGAACTAGGCTATGTGCAATTCAACGCAAATATAAAACCCCCCAAGGAAAGGCAAAACCGGGGTTGCATAATCTGACATGTCTGGTTTGGTTGATTAGCTTACTCTAACATGTTGGACGAATGTGAGTGAAATTAAAACCATCACCGAGCAGACAAAGTGAGTCGCCCTCTTTATGACGGTGGCTCAACACTCTATTTTCAATCTATCAATAAAGCATAAGTAGTTCCTACGCAATTTTCTACCATAATTTCTCATATTCCATGTATTTCCTAATCTAGCAATTTCAATAGCCCCTCATATTTATTTTAACCGCATACGTATCATAATCAGCAGACATACTCGTTTGAGACAATTCTATTTCATGTCTAGCTTCTACCATATGCTCGGCCACTTCTGAACGTTGGATCCAGCTCCCTTTGCAAGCATTTTTGTGTTCTCCTAATCTTTGTCGAATAGGCCGGCATGTCTCACCAATATAACATCAACCACATGAGTCAACAATCTTGTAGCAGCCGGATCTCGATAATGGGTCATATTTCTCTCTAAAAGATGCCATAACAGAAGAAAATGTGAGGGTTTCTTTGAACATTGTTTTTACGCCCCACTTCTTTAGTAATTCGACTATCATTTTTTAGAGAAGTCATGACGGCAAAATTAGGATATGGGAAAATGTCTCAGTCTGTCTATCCTTGACTAAATGGTCTCCGTCTGAAAATTTATTCCTCAGTAGAGAGATATTATTCTCAATAACGTCCAAATGATAATTATTTTTCAGGAATATATTTGTCAGCAGTTGCAACTCTTTAGTCAAATGTTTGCTATCCTCTAGCCTCATACATCTAAGAATCATTGAGATCAAAATTCCAACCTCAGTCTTATAACTATTCGGATAGCAAACATTTTACTAAAGAGTTGCGACGGCTGATAAATATATTCCTGGAAAATAATTATTCTTTGGGCCTTATTGAAAATAATATCTCTCTACTGAAGAATAAATTTTCAGACGGAGAACATTTAGTAAAAGACAGGCAGACTGAGACATTTGCCCATATCCTAATTTTCCCGTCATGCCATCTATCAAAAAAGATAGTCGAATTAGTAAAGAAGTGGGGCGAAAAAAAGTGTTCAAAAAAACCCTCACACTTTCTTCTGTTATGCCATCTTTTAGAGAGAAATATGACCCATTATCG